GAAGTATGTGTCTATTCATTTTTCTCTTTTTTTAAAATATATTTTTATTGATTTTTTTTTTTTACAGAGAGGAAGGGAGAGAGATAGAGAGTCAGAAACATCAATGAGAGAGAAACATCGATCAGCCGCCTCCTGCACATCTCCCACTGGAGATGTGCCCGCAACCCAGGCACATGCCCTTGACCGGAATCGAACCCGGGACCCTTCAGTCCGCAGGCCGACGCTCCATCCACTGAGCCAAACCGGTTTCGGCTGTTCTTCAATAAATTTTCACCGTTGCTAAAAATTTATACATCTCTCTATTTATATATATATTTAATAGGGTGGGGGGTAAGAGATCGATCAAAGGACTTGTGTGCATGCATATGAGCATAACCAATGGACACAGACACCAGTATGGTGAGGGTATGAGTGGGGGGTGGGGGGGCACTGGGGGGATAAGGACACATATGTAATACCTTAATCAATAAGGAAAAAAATAGAAATAGAGCAACTACCAAAGGGCAGTGATGAACCTTTTGAGCGCGGTGTGTCAACATTTTGAAAAACCCTAACTTAATTTTGGTGTCGTGTCATATATAGAAATTTTTTGATGTTTGCAACCATAGTAAAACAAAGATTCATATTTTTGATATTTATTTTATATATTTAAATGCCATTTAACAAAGAAAAATCAACCAAAAAAATGAGTTCGTGTGTCATAGGTTCGCCATCACTGGGCTAGGGGGTGAGGGCATGTGCCGGGGCATGGGAGTGTCAGGGAGAGGTCCATGAGGAAAAAGGAGACCTATGCCATACTTTCAACAAAAAGAATTAAAGAAAAAAAACATCGATGTTTCTGACTCTCTATCCCTCTACATTCCTCTCTGTGAAAAATCAATAAAATATATTTTAAAAAAAAAAGAAAAAAATATATATTCTAGAGGCCCAGTGCACCAATTCGTGCACAGGTAGGGTCCAGCCGGCCCCACCCCCGATCGAGGTTGCGGGGGCTGGTCAGGGGGAGGGGCCGAGGGAGGTTGGCCGGCTGCAGTGCATGTCATAGCGACCAGTCGCTTGGCTTTTCTATATATTGATATTTACAAAAATAAAAATAAAAAATGCCTTCGCTACCTATGCATAAGCCCCTAACCCCTATGGAGCATTGCCTTGCATGTTGTTCAATGTATAAGCAGGATCACGTCTGTGACGGGAGGGAGAGGGAGAGAGAGAGAGAAACATCCCTGATGAGAGAGAAACATTGATCGGCTGCCTTTGTCCTCATTAGCTCAACACTGTGTCTTCCACTGTGACACGGAGTCCGAGTTCCCTCCACGCAAAGACGTCGGATATCCCGGCGTGTGGACGCGCCCTCCTTCATGGATTCGTCCTTCTCCGGACGGTCATTTTCTTTTTCTCCCACATCCTGCTCTTACCAGTCCCTGCAAAGGCTGTTCGGCTCATGTGGACGTGTGCTAAGTCAGTGGTTCTCAACCTTCCTCATGCCGCGACCCTTTCATACAGTTCCTCATGTTGTGGGGACCCCCGACCATAAAATTATTTTCGTGGCTACTTCATCACTGTCGTGTTGCTACTGTTATGAATCGTCATGTAAATATCTGCTATACAGGATGTATTTTCATTGTTACAAATTGAACATAATGAAAGCACAGTGATTAATCCCCAAAACAATATGGAATTATATGTGTGTTTTCTGATGGTCTTAGGCGACCCATGTGAAAGGGTCGTTCGACCCCCAAAGGGGTCGCGACCCACAGGTTGAGAACCGCTGTGCTAAGTGGCCACTGACTCTGGCGCATTGGCCCCGCGGGAATTCCTGGCCGGAGGAGAGAATGGGGCCTCCGGGTCCCCGCCCCCAGCTCTCCGCGGGGCTCCGTCTGGCCTGGACTTCTTAATTTTCCTGCTTGAGTCCCTACGTCCCTCTAAGGATGGGAAGAAAGAGAGAGGCGCGGGCGTCTGAGAGGGAAGCCGCTCCCCGGCCGGCTCTCCAGCGCTGGCCACGTGGCCCGCCCTAATTGAGACGTGAGCACAGAATAGACCGGGGATTTTAACAACTTAGCACGAAAAAGGGAAGGTCAGCCACCGCCCGGAGGGACCGTGTATTAATTACAGGAGGACACCGTGTTTTGGACGCGCAGAGGAGCTCCGTCGCCACGGACTCCGTGTCCGCACACCCCTGACCACTGATGGGCTGCCCCCAAAGCTGCAATCGCAGCACCGGGGTTGGGGGGAACCAGTGGGTTTTTAAAAAGATATTTTATTGATTTCAGAGAGGAAGGGAGACGGAGAGAGAGAGAAACATCAATGATGAGAGAGAATCATGGATCAGCTCCCTGCACACACCCCACCAGGGTTTGAGCCCACAAACTGGGCCTGTGCCCTGACTGGGAATCCAACCAGGACCTCCTGGTTCGTAGGTCGATGCTCAACCTCTA